CACCCACCACCACTTGGGCAGTAGGGGCTAAGCCATGAGTAAATGCCATTGCTGCTTGTGCAGCCTCTGGTTGCTGGTGTGCTTTTTGAGACCTCAGGTCAGGGCACCCTGACCCTGCCAGGGAAATCTAGATTTTGGCTGCTATCCCCACTGCTGGAAAGACCAGTGCCACTGCTGGGGGAAAGGGAGTGGGGCTGGTTCACCAGTTCTGCTTTGAGACATCATTTCTTTAAATAAGCTTTATGCTCCTTTCCCCTCTATTCCCCTTCTGAGATTCCAATATTTTGTAGATTGATTCTCTTAATTTCACCCCATAACTCACATCATCTTTCTTCACTCTTTTCCATTCTTTCTTTTTTCTGCTCTGACTTCACAATTTCAAATGTCCTGTCTTTAACTTCCCAGTTTCTTTCTCCTGATTGATCAAGTCTGTTGATGCTCTCTATAGCATTTTTTCATTTCATTCATCATATTCCTCAGTTGGTTCTTTTTTATGATTTCTACTCTGTTTTCTTCCTGTATTGTTTTTCTGATTCTGTTGACCTGTCCTTCTGTTTACTTGTAGCTCACTGAGCTTCCGTAAAACAACTATTTTGAATTTTTTATTGTTTATCAGGCAAGTTGTAGATCTCCATGTCTTTTGGGGTCATTTTCTGGAAAATTATTGTGTTCCTTTGGTGATGTCATGTTTCCTTGACTTTTCACATTTCTTGTAGTCTTCCACTGCTGTCTTCACATCTGAAGAAGCAGTCACCTCCTCTAACCTTTAGTAACTGGCCTCTTCTATGTGTGAAATCATGGATTATATTTTTATCCAGGGGTGGTCTGGAACTTCTCTACTAGACTCCTGGACTTTCACAAAAGCACACTCATCTGTGGGTGATTTTTAAAACCAGTGTTCTTTAGGGGGAGAACAGTAGAAAACTATTCTGCCATTTTGATGGCATCCTGTAACAACCGGTTTTCAAAGGTGGCAAGTGTTAGAAGTATGAGGTTACTGGATGGCAACAAACAATATGGAGATATCAGGGAGGGAGTTTTGGGGAATGCTAATTTTAATTTTTTAATTAAGCTTTTTATTTTGAGATCATTGTAGATTCACAGGCAGTTGTAAGAGAAAATACAGAGATATGCTTTGTACCCTTTATTCAGTTTCTCAAGTAATAAGATTTTGCAAAACCATAGTACAATATTATGGCTAGGATATTAACATTGCTACAGGACAGTCAAGAGTCAGAACATTTCTATTATCACAAAGATCACTCTATTACACTTTTATAACCATACTCACTTATCTCCTGTCCCTACCCCCTCCTTAACTCCTTGCAACCACTAATCTGTTCCCCATTTCTGAGTTACATCATTTTAATAAAGTTTATAAATGAGTCATACCATTTGTAGCCTTTGGGGTTGGATTTTCTCAAGCAACATAATTCCTTGTAGATTCACCCAAATGTTTGCATGTACCAATAGTTGGCTCCTTTTTATTTATGAGTCATATTCTATGGCATAGATGTATAAAAGTCTGCTTAATTACTCACCCATTGAAAAACATCAGTTGTTTCCAGTTTAGGATATTATGATCAAAGCTGCTATGAACATTTGTTTAGAGGTTTTTATGTAAAAATACATTTTCATCTCTCTGGGATAAACGCCCAAGAGTGTAACTGCTGGGTCATATGGTAGTTGTATGCTTCATTTCTTAAGAAACTGTCAAACTATTTTCCAGAGTGGCTGTACTGTTTTACATTTTCACCACAAAGTATGAATGAGTCAGTTTCTCTGCATCCTTGCCTGCATTTGTTGTCACTGTTTTTTATTTTAGCCTTTCTAATAGGTATGTAATGATATCTCATTGTGTTTTTAATTTGCATTCTCCAATGATTAACGATGTTAAACATCTTTTCATGTATTTAACTGCCATCCATATATCCTCTTCAGTGAAATATCTGTTTGTCTTTTGCACATTTTCTAATTAGAGTTTTTACTGTTGAGTTTTGAGAGTTCCTTATATATTCTAGGTTCTAGCATTTTGTCAGCTATGTGGTTTTCAAATATGTTTTCCTAGTCTGTAGCTTGTCTTTTCATCTTCTTCACATGGTCTTTCACAGAGAAAAATTTTCTATTTTGATGAGATCAATTTTATCATTTTTTTCATTCTGTGGTTCAGGCTTTTGGTGTCAAATCTTATCTACTTCTTTGCCTAGCCCTACATCCTGAAGATTTTATCCTATTTTTTTGCCTAAAAGTTTTATAGCTTTACATTCAAGTCCATTATTCATTTTGAGTTGATTTTTATAGGATGTGAGTTTAGGTTGAGGTCCTTTATTTTTGGCCTATGGAGTCCAATTGCTTCAGTGCCATTTGCTGAAAAGGCTATACTTCCTCCACTGAATTGCTTTTGCACCTTTGTCAAAAATCAGTTGGGCATACTTGTGCAGTCTATTTCTGGGTTCTCTATTCTGTTCCACTGATTTAATATGTCTGTCCTTCTGCCAACACCACACTGTAGCTATATAATTAGTGTTGAAATCAGACTAGACTGATTACTCCAACTTTCTTCTTCTTCTTCAAGATTATTTTAGTTATTCTAGGGTACTCATTTGATTTTGAGTTGGCCCTAAAGCCTCTAGATATGGGGGCTGTTCTCATGGCCCTAGGCATCTCCATGATGACAGCCTGAAATGGGTTGATGGACCAGGAATTAGCATCCAACTCCCAAGAAGTTATATATCAATTTTTAAAACGAAGGCAAATGTAAAGTGAAAAGGCCTTCCTTGGAGCTAGGTTCTATCCTCTTTGCTTTTCTTCCAGTCAGGCTTCCCCTTCTCCAGAGCAGTAGACCAAGTTGATAAGGTCCCATGGTATTACAGATGGAGTTGGAGGGGGACACTAGAATAATTACCTATCCAATTATATCTGTATTGGAGAAATGTTAACAATAATGTTTCCCATCATTTCCAGGAAGTGGTCATTGGAAGTGTCAAGGAAGCTGGCTTTCATGGATATTTGAAAGAATGCCCTTCCTGTTCTTTGCATGTACATGATATAACTATTGAATTTCTAAGTTTGACAACCACTTCCAATTGTATAGTGCCCTTGTATCTCAAAATATATCAGTCACCACAGCCCTGGACTAGGAGAGTCTTGCAGATAAGAAATAAAGGAGGACATTTGTAGGAATTCTGGGAGGTTTGAAATTAGATGAGTTTCTTTGAAGACTAGGATTACTGTTAAGGGTGGAAAGCTCTTCAGGCGAACCAGTGTTTAGATACTGGGAGACAAGAAAGGACCTGAAAAAGATAGCCTTGAGACTATACAGAGTAAGGAAGGAATCTGACACAAAGGCTGGTATAAGTGAGCAGGTGGATTGTTTTAAGGGTTCTAAGTAAAAAGACCAGCCAGTTTCATATAAGCTTGAGGAAACCTGGGCTGAGGTAAAGGGGCACCATCCCATCATGAAGGTCAGCATGGTAGGGACAGTGGAGGAAATCAGAGTGAGAGAAGCTCAGGAGGTGAGTGCCTCCAGGAGACAAAGGCAGGTGGCTAGGACAGTAGCCCCTTTGTAGCTTGAAGACTCTCCAGCTGGCCAAGGCACTTCTCTGCTCATATCTCTAAGTAAGGGACACATTCTCTTACAGGGTTCTCCTATTCATACAGATCATATCCTTACTGATCTTAACTCCAGATTGCTTTATAACACTGTCTTTAATGTTTTCACCCCCCAAGAGGTTAGGGGTGCTTGCCTTTAATTCCCTATCTAAAGAGAATCACATTTCCATGATGAGGGAAAGAGCCAATGAGAGACTCTCAGGAGCAAGAAGCAATAGGTAGCTAATAGGAAGGCCATGTCTAGCCAGAGAGGCCCCAGCTAGGTGCAGTGTTTAAACGGAAATCAGGTATTCACGGTCACTAGGTCTCCTCAATAAAAAGGAGATTCATTGTGTCTGCTGGAGTTTCAGGCAACTTGAATCTGATCATTCTGTATGGTGACTCATTCTGAACCAGAGAGCCACTGAGAAAGCAGAAGGAAGGGCCTGGGGAAAGTGAGGTCTTATTATGATCATCCACCCCTGGGGACAATGACAGTAGCTGTCAGTAATAGAAGCAGCTGTCAGTAATGAGAGGCAAGACAAAAAAATTAGCTCTTCATTCCTAGCATAGAGAATTAGCAGAACTCTAAGATGGAGAGGAGAGAGGAGTGGACGTGGAGTCAAGCTGACTAAGGTTCAGAGTCACTCCACTTTGAAGATCCTCAGTTTCTTCATCTGAAAAATGGGGCTAACAATGCTTCCTTTTCAGGGGCACCATAAAGATGAAATGAAAGAACTTATATAAAATGACTGGTACTGAATAGGCTCTCGAATAAACAGAGGGTAGTTCTTTCCCTTCATTCAACTAAGCATTTTAATTTTGTCTAGTTCATGAAACAAGAAAATAAAGCTTATTTCATATTCAAATTGATTCTCAAGATATTTTCCTTTTTTCAGTACTTTAGTTTATGGTTCAGAGAAAGATAGAGATTGGCTATCTGAATCTTCTGTCTTGGTTCAATTTGAAGTTCTCCATTCTGATTTGGGACTCCTGATTTAGCAAATGTCCCCGAACCAATGAAAGAAAGTTCAGCAGATATCCCTAATATGTTTATACTTATTAATAAATTCTAGATGTTTACTACTGTCTATCTGTCTCTATATTATTAGTAAAGTTTAGGTTTCTTTTATTTAAGCATTAATAAAAAGAAACAAAGGTTCTAGTATTTTCCTGTACCCACTGAGCTATGTTTAGATATGACTACCTTATACTATTCACTCCTAAGCCTTTAAGACCATTTGCCACCTGAAATCAAGACACCTGGGAAGCTGGACACTTTCAACCACACCACGTGAACTTCAGCATGGAAACAAGCCTAGGAATATGCAAGCACATAGACTATGGCTTTCCAGTCTCACAAAGAGAGTGAGTGGAGCCAGGGAAACAGTGATTAAAGGCATTTTTACCTTTTTGTTTAGGGACTTTTCTCACAGTCATTGCAGCTTGCCTCTTCTGGTTTTCAGAAATTTCAAAACCTGTAATATAAAAATACATGATTTTTTAAAATAAGAAACATAGACCTTTCTTAAATGTATAAATTAGTACAACTTTTCTGGAAGAGTCATTTTGGCAAGATGTATTAAAAGTCTTGAAAAGTCAAAAAGGAAAGTAGTCAGAAACTTGGACAAAGATTTAGCTACAAAGATGCATTTCACAATATAGAGGGGCAAAAAAAAGTGAGAACATGAGTTAAAAGGCTGTTAAATGCGACATGGTGAAATACAGTATGGTGTAAATTAGATAAATATTTCAAAACCAAAAGCAAAAATACAAAGAAAAGGAAATAATGAGTCAAAAAATAAGATATTACAACAGAAAATGTACAGAGCTAACAAAAGTTTCAGAAGGAGGAAAAAAATCAAATGGCAAAAAAACAATGAAATAACAGAAATGTCTGTGTAAGTCATTTGCCCATTTTCTAACTGAGTTATTTTTTTTGCTAGTGAGTTGTATGAGTTCCTTATATATTTTGGAAATTAACCTCTTATCAGATATATGGTTTGCAAATATTTTCTCCCACTCCATAGGTTGCCTTTCATACTGTTGATTGTTTCCTTTGCTGTGCAGAATCATTTTAGTTTGATGTAGTCCCACTTGTCTATTTTTGCTTTGTTGCCTATGCTTTCAGTGTCACATCCAAGAAATCACTGCCAAGACCAATGTCATGACTTATTCTTTCCTTCTAGGAGTTTTATAATTTCAGGTCATATGTTTAAGTCCTCAACCCATTTTGAGTTGATTTTCATGCATGCTGTAAGGTAGGAGTCCAATTTCACTCTTTTGCATGTGAATATCCAGTTTTCCCAGCACCATCTGTTGAAGAAACTATCCTTTCCTCATTGCGTATTCTTGGCAACCTCATCAAAGATATGTTGACTGTATATGTGTGGGTTTATTTCTGGGCTCTCTATCTTATTTCATTGGTCTTTATGCCCATACCATACTTTTAAATTACTGTAGCTTTGTAATATATTTTGAATCAGGAAATGTGATGCCTCCAGTTTTGTTCTTTTCTCTCAAGATTGCTTTGGCTATTGTGGGTTTCTTGTGGTTCCACATGAATTTTAGGATTGTTTCTTTTTATTTCTGTAAAAATTGCCATTGCAATTTTGATAGGATCACACTGAACCTGTAGATGGCTTTGGGTAGAAAGGACATTTTAACAATATTAAGTCTTCTAATCTATGAACACAGGATGTCTATTTATTTGTGTCTTCTTTAATGTCTTTCAGTAATGTTTTGTAGTTTTCAGTGTACAAGTATTACACCTGCTTGGTTAAGTTTATTCCTAAGTATTGTATTATTTTGATGAAATTGTGAATGGGATTATTTGCTCAATTTCCTTTTCAGACAGTTTGTTGATAGCAAAACACAATTGACTTTTATATACTGACTTTGTATCCTGCAACTTTACTAAATTCATTCATTAGTTGTAAGAGATTTTTTGTGGAATCTTTATGATTTTCTATGTATAAGACAATGTCATTTGTCAAAAGAAGTAATTCTACTTCTTCCTTTCTGAATTGGACGCCTTTTATTTATTTTTCTTGCTTAATCACTCTGGCTATGACTTCCACTACTGTGTTGAATAAAAATGGTGAAAGTGGACATCCTTATCTTGCTCCTGATCTTAGATACAAAGCTTTCAGTATTTCCCCCTTGAGTATGTTAGCTGTAGGCCTTTCATATACGGCTTTATTATGTTGAGGTAAATTCCTTCTAAATCTAGTTTGTTGAAAGTCTTTACCATAAAAGGGTATTTAATTTTGTCAAATGCTTTCTCTGCATCTATAGAGATTATCATGTGATTTTTATCCCTCATTTTGTTAGTGTGGTGTATCACATAAATGGATTTGCATATATTGAACCATTCTTGCATACCAAGATAAATCCCACGTGGCTATGGTGTATGATCGCCTTATTGTGCTGTGAATTCTGCTGGCTAGTGTTTTATGGAAGATTTTTCCAGGTATGCTCATCAGGGATATTGGCCTGTAATTTTCTTTTCTTGTAGTAGAAGACTTAATATTGTTAAAATGTCCATTCTATGCAAATCCATCTGTAGATTCACTGCAATCCTATCAAAAGTCTAATGACTTTCTTTACAAAAATAGAGAAAATACTCCTAAAATTCATGTGGAACTACAAAAGGCCCATAATAGCCACAGCAATCTTGAGAGAGAAGAACAAACCTGGAGGTATCACACTTCCTGATTCAAAATATACTACAAAGCTACAGTAATTAAAACAGTATGGTACTGGCTTAAAGACAAACATATAGACCAATAGAACAGGACAGACAGTCTAGAAATAAACCCATACATATACAATCAACATATCTTTGACAAGCATGCCAAGAATACACAATGGGGGTGCCGGCTCAGTGGTATAGCAGTTAAGCGTGCACGTTCCGCTTTGGCGGCCCAGGGTTCACCGGTTTGGATCCCAGGTGCAGACATGGCACTGGTTGGCAAGCCATGCTATGGTAGGTGCCCCACATATAAAATAGAGGAAGATGGGCACAGATGTTAGCTCAGGGCCAGTCTTCCTCAGCAAAATGAGGATTGGCAGCAGATGTTAGCTCAGGGCTAATCTTTTTCAAAAAAAAAAAACGAAAAAAGAATACACAACAGGGAAAGGATAGCTTCCTCAACAAATGGTGCTAGGAAAACTGGATATTCACATGCAAAAGAATGAAAATGGACTCCTACCTTATACCATATTTGAAAATCAATTCAAAGTGGACTGAAGACTTAAAACTTATGACCTGACACTGTAAAACTCCTAGAAGAAAGTACAGGGAAAAAGTTTCTTGACATTGGTCTTGGAAATTATTTCTTAGACATGACACCAAATGCATAGGCAACAAAACAAAAATAGACAAGTGAGACTACATCACACTAAAATACTTCTTTTCAGCAAAAGAAAGAAACAACAGAGTGAATAGGTAACCTACAAAATGGGAGAAAATATATTTGCAAACCATGTATGCGATAAGGGGTTAATTTCCAAAATATGTACAAAACTTCAACAATCAATAGTGAAAAACAAAATAACTCAATTAAAAACAATGCACAAAGAGAGTGACATCAGTATCATGGCAGAGCGAGCTGTTCTCTTAGTCTCTTCCCCCTAAGCTACAGCCAAATGAACATTCATTAACCAAGAGGATGCCCTACAAAGCACAAAAGTATGTCTGAGAGATCCATGCAGCCATACATCTGAAGGTGGGGGAACTGGATCCCTGGGAAGCAGTGGAAGGAGGTGAGCGGATCCCCTCCTGCTCTCCAGCAGCAGTGATCTAGGACCCAGGTCCTCATGTAGCAGCTGGCACACAACTGTAAGAGAAGGCGGGGGAGCAGGTAGGCCTCTGTGTGAATGTTTTCACTTTTGGAGTTACAGTTCAGCCCATGGGAACCCTCCACACTGAGTGGCATGGCTCAGCCACCGTGTGGGCACCCCCACAAAGTGCAGCAGCCCAGGAGAACCACCTGTGAACACAGCACAGGCCCATGCATGTGAAAGAAAGCACCCCTCTCTACCCACTTAGCTCATGAATTCAGCCTTTTCCAGGCCAAGGCAGTGGATCTGCACAAGAGCACATACATGTGTCATTTCAAGTGGCTGTGGCCAGCGGGAAAATGCAGAGGAGCTCTATCAGCACAACTTCCAGCAGATGCAGTGGGTTCATAAAACAGCTCCTGCCAACCCCCTACAGTGGTGGCAGGCGGAATTTGTAACCTGGTACTACCACTATGCACTGGCAAAGGGTCACTTCATGGAACACCATGAAGAACTATATTAATGCTCCAGAGCAGAAGGAAAATGACAAGTCTCCAGAAATCAATCCTAAAGTCACAGAAATTTACAATCTAAATGGCAGAGAATTCAAAATAGTTGTCATAAAGAAACTCAATGAGTTATAAGAAAACTCAGACAGTTCAGTGAATTCAGGAATAAAATTAATGAACAGAAGGAATTCTTCACAAAAGAGATTGAAACTAAAAAAAAGCCACAGAGAAGTTCTGGAGAGACAGCCCTGATGGCCTAGAGGTTAAAGTTCTGTGCACTCTGCTTTGGTGGCCCAGGTTCAGCTCCCTGGGCACAGAAGCACACCATTCATCTGTCATAGCCATGCAGTGGCAGTGGCTCTCAGAGAAGAACTAGAAGGACTGACAACTAGAATATACAACTATGTACTGGGGCTTTGGGGATGGGAAAAAAATAAATTCTGGAGATGAAGAACATAATGAATGTGAAAATAAAACAATCTAGAAACCTTAAAAACAGAGCTGATGTTGTGGAGGACAGAATTAGCAATTTAGAGAACAAAAATGTAAAAACACTTCAGGTAGAGAAGGAGAGAGAACTGAGACTTAAAAAAAAATTCTTTGAGAAATATCTGACAATTAGGAAATACAACATATGGATTATTCCAGAGGGAGGCAAGAGGGAGAAAGGAGCAGAGAGCTTGTTCAAAGAAATAATAGTTGAGAACTTTCAAAACCTGGGGAAGTAACTGGACTTAAAAGTAGCTGAAGTCAATAGACCTCCTAATTACAACAATGCAAAAAGATCTACTCCAAGGCATATAACAATAAAAGTGGAAAAAGTCAATGACAAAGAAAAAATATTAAGGGCAGCAAGGTAGAAGAGAATAATCTACAAAGGTTCCCCTATCAGGATTTCAGCAGATTTTTCAGCAGAAACCTTACAGGCTAGGAGAGAGAATGTAAGGATATATTCCAAATACTGAAAGACAAAACTTTCAACCAAGCAGTTACTCTATGCAGCAAAACTACCCTTTAGAGATGATGGAGAGATAAAAACTTTCCCAGACAAACAAAAGCTGAGGGAGTTCACTGCCACTAGACCTCACCTGTAAGAAATGATCAAGGATGCCCTCATATCTGAAACAAAAAGGCAAAGGACTACAAAGCCTTGAGCAAGGAGATAAACAGACAGACAAAATCAG